AGAACTAATGAACTAACAAAAACTTAGAAACATGTAGTTAACAAAGTAAACCCCCTGCAAAACTAAGAAACCAACCTAAAACACAAAACAATAAGTAAACCTAAAGTACAAACCACTAAAGGGACTGATAAGATAAATGACCCTTAAACACAGAACATACAAGTCAACTCAAAGAAACTAAAAGACAAAGGACCTGAAAAGGAAACTGACCACAAAGAACATGAGAATAAAAAGGCACCCAGTTAACAAAAAAGTTTGACTCAAACTTATCCCCAATTAAATGTGACTAGTAGTAAAGATAAAGTAAAAAAAAAGGAACTTAGTACAAAATAACATTAACAGTGAAAAAATGTAAAATATTAAACAGATTAATGAAAGAAGCAAACTCTAAACACAAATTGTAAACTAAAATAACCTAGATGGTAAAAGTACAAAATTGGAACTTAAACAACACTGACCCAAGAGACATGAATGACGTAAATTATCAAGTGTGGAAATTAGATCCATACACGCGAGCTCACGAGTGAGAAATATACACTCAAAAACTTACCACAGATCTCCTAGGAAAAAGAACAATACCTATCTTGAAAGGAAAAAAAAAGACATAAAGTCCCCATGAATGAAAGTTTGTGCTTCCTCAGCAGACATTGTGAAACCTGAAACTGAGGCCTAGTGTTATAACTGCTGTCTATTTATGGTAGAAAAATTATCAACTGCCATAAGAAGCCAAAATACATATGAACAAAGTAGAATTTGGAAAACAGAAACATCTCAAAAACAAATGAGTAGAAACTTGAACTTGAAACTGATATTAACTGGTGAATAAGCCCAATCAAAAATTGTGCAATCACATGGAAAATGTAAAACACATATTATCTGAAAGTTGTGCATTTGTACAATATTCTATAGTGTTGTTGATGATATGAAGTAACCTGTAACTAAATTGAGAAATCAATTTCAGTAAATTAATGTATAACCAAACACACATTCTTTGTTTTTCTTCATTTTACAGTAAGTCATAGAACAAGTGCTTGTAATAATATTTCTCAATGAGTCAATAATAAAACATGACTGATACCTAGCTATTCGTTTGACTAAACATGAGTTGTATGTAAAACTGGCCAATTTAATGCATGAGAAACAATTGTATTAATTAGAGTTGCATCAACTAACTGATTAATTGAAATTACAATTAAGTCAATTTCACAATATGAATATGCACTATAAATTAGTGTTCATTATTATTATTATTGTTTTCGATTATTCCAACAATTAGGAAACTAATTAAAATTAAGGTTTCCAATTATTACTGTTTTCAATCATTCCAACTATTAAAGTAAATGAAATATTACCAATATATTTGTTGTTAAGCAAAAAAACTGTATAATGAGTGGAGTGACTCATGATTTGAGAGTCTCAAGTTCAATTTCCATAGCCACTAAGGAATTTGAGGAAAGAATCCTCTATCCATTTTTGTTTTCAGAAATTATCAACTATATTAGCTAATATTGTATGAGAAGGCACAAATCCGGGTCTAAACATTCTCTCCATTGTTTTTCAGAAACCAAAAAAAAACAGACATCATTACACTACCATATAGTATCAGAAAGAAACATCAGATGTCAATGTTTTTTATGTGAATGAGTTATCATAATTTTTCAGGTTTTCTGAAATCAATACAGCTGGAGTCTTCAGCAATCCCGTTAGGGCCTCAGCCAATAATAGATTATTTGTAAGCTAGTACAACAATAACAATTTCAGTTAAAAGTTGCTGTAGTTAGTTTTCCAGACACTCTAACAATGTGTCTAGGCTTTATAGGTTTGTTTTAATCAAAATTAGTATTTCGTTTTGAGTTTACTTACTGATTAAGTATCATATTATTACAAGTTACAGCTTTTACAGTAAGGAAGATTATTTTTTAAAACAGGTGACATGTTTCGATCACTGGTGCAATCATTTTTAAGTACAGAAGTTTTTAAATCAATCTTCAACAATCTAACAATGTTCGATGACGAGGAACCCACTTTGAGACTAATAATGGCTGGAGACGGCTTAAATGGCTTTCTTCATTACCCATTTAAGCCGTCTCCAGCCATTATTAATCTAACAATGTATTTAAATTTTAGGACTGATAATGATTACTTATGCATGTGTGTATCAATCCACATGAATTGACATTTTATTTATCTATGGCTGAACAGAAAACAAGCAAAAAAGTGTATAAATAGAAAAAAATGTGGAGTATGTTATGTGTAATATTTGCATAAGATTCAGAATGTCTAGGGTAATAATGATTAGAAATATAGAGATGTATCTGAGTATTTGTTAATTGTGGGATTGTTTGATCTTATTAATAAAGTTTCTCTGATTTTTCTTCTGTTAATGTCAGTATGGTGATATTCTATTCAGAAAAACTGTGGTTCTTTTTGTTCATGAACTTGGGAAGGGTGTTTTGATGTTTTTTTAACCTAATCTTCAAGTCACTTTCTGTTTCATCTGTGCAAAAGGGTAGGCAATTGTTACACTTTATTTTGTAAATGTTTCCTGGTGGGTGGGGTTATTATATAATTTTCTTAACATGTGTTTCATTTTCATTCCAGGGGTGAATGTGAATCTAGGTGTTATGTTAAGGTTATATTTATGTCCTAGACTTTTCCACAAATCTGATAGAGGTGTGCTGTTATTTTCAATATATGGTGCAAGTGATTGGGTTTCCTTCATTTTGTGGAGTATTTTTTGAGTTTGTGTTTGTTGAGTGTTTCTTGTCTGTGTTTTTAAATTTGTTAATAGTTTCTGTAACTACTTTGCGAGGGAAATGGTTGATGTCACTAAAATATTGAGCTAAGTGCACGATTTCTTCATTGAAGTTTTCTGTGGTGCATATAGTGTATGCTAGATTTAGAAGGCTTTTTAAAGTGCCTAGCTTTTGGTGGATTACCAGTTTATGTAATTTCCACTGTATGCATTTTTTATATGAATTTTAGTTGTGAAATCTTGATGGAGGGGGTGATGTTAACATTCAGAAAATTTATCATGTTGTTGTTTTAATTTTCAACTGTGAATTGTATGTTTTTATGTTGGGTGTTTTGTTTGTTCATCTTGACAAGTAAAGTCGCAATAAATGCCTTCTACATATCTAAGCCAAAATTCAGGCTTATACATGGAAGTAACTTTGGAAATTCATCTAATGTAATGTAAGAAAACAGTGACAAAAGTATCTGATAATGGATTTCCCATGGCAAGTCTGTGAAACTGAAGGAAGTATGAATCTCTGTATTGAAAGTAAATAAATGTAGCTAGTTGTAACAGTTCAATTAGGTGTTCCTGTTTTATGTTGATTCTCTTTTCAGGGTATTGTGAAGTAAATTCTGCACTAAGTTGTATTGCCTCATGACATTGTTATCCAAAGAGCCAATAAAGAAAACTCACCCGTGATTTTACCAACCAAACAGTATGATCCCTTAATAGTAAATATATTGATTGATATATCTAAATTTACTCAGTCAAATACAAAAAATTGAGCAAACTACTTTACAAATATTTGCATACAAACCAACCAAGAACACCAAAAGTCTACAGTCCATAAAAACTCAATAACCTCACACCCAATAATGTCTTGTTACAACTCTTTAAACTACAACCTTGGTAAACACTTTGCCCATTTACTAATAAAACACAGCTTTGAAAACAACTATAAGGCAAGTTCAAGTATGATTGGATAAAGCAAGAATTAGACTGTCACGTATTATTTGACTAAATATATAGGTTCAAGTTTTATGTTAGCTTCTGTAGGTATTCCTTTCATTTGTGAAAGAATTTGCTCATTAAATTATATCCGTTTGAATGCTACAGAAATATACAGGTTGAATGAGTAACAAACGTATAACAAGTTTAACACAGTAACAAATATACAGTCTGAAGGTTTCACCATATCTAGGTATGTTACGACAGCGGAAGTCACGCGACGCTAGGAGCAAGCGTGCTGGAGTTTCTAGAAGGATCATGACTTAACGAGGAACCTCACGAATGTCCAAGTGTTTGCCTGGCGCCCCATTTTTTAGTATATAAGCCTAGCAAGAAAAACCAGCATGATGGCATAAATAGATAGATAATTGAGTCAAGCAAACAGTAGGCACCATAAGTAAAGTGTGTGAATCGCTGTAAATTATAGCATGTGTTTATAAAAATAGTTAAGTTAAAGTGACTGTGGAAATTCTGTGTATTACAAAGTTGTTTTGAGAAAGAATAAACTAGTTTTATTCAAGAAAGGACTTGTATTGCTGAAGTTCCTCTGAAAGAATTTATACCGGAAATTAAAAAACGAGCAGACACGCAACAGGTACAAGTAGTTTATCTACACAGTACCTCCACAGAAATATATATATATACTGTATTAAATAAAGCCACATAATTTGAAAACAATTGAGGCTTAATAAAGATATCATGTTGGTGTTTGGTTCTTTGTTCAACATTATGGTGCTTCCATTTTTTAATAGATATACTATGGTTTTACTGATGTGTAATGTTTGTAACCATGATGATTTTCTTTTTATATTATGTTCACCAAATACAATAAAATCATCATCAAATCAGATCCATTAAGTTTGATACTTAGTGAGAACTGTATGTAACTGCAAAATAATCTGATAACTCAAATCTTTATTGAATATTGTTTTATGTATATCTCATTAAAGAACAGATATAAATAAACTGGATAATTATTTCAATTAGCAATCATGATATATTTTGAATAAAACCATTATTACCCTTACCAATGACAGTAACACATTATTTAATTTTCAGTTTATTTGATTTACAGAAACTCAGTGGAGATCACTGCTCTAGTTCTAGGTTTCTGTAGTTAGATATATGACAAGGAAATCATACTAAAATACTGAAGAGAAAAATAAGTTGTATGATATTATTCTTCTCACTTAATGAATAAAACTAATCACAATGTAAATTTATAACACATGTCCGGAAAAAGGGATATACTTACACATGTTTAACTGACGGATGAAACTCCTCATGTTGTTGTGTTTGAAAAACAAGGGAAGAAGGTTTCTTGCAAACACATCTTCATTTTGAATTATGAAACTTTCCCCCATCTGGAATACAAAGTCATTTTTCAAAATTGGATATTAAAAACAAAATCCATAGCAAAAGTTTTGGATACATCAAATAATTCTTAATTTTCTCTTCTACCACAAGAAGCAATCAACGGATAGTAATAAGAACAACAAACAAAGAATGACATCATTAGAAAGATGCAGACAAGACATACGATCAGTATAACAATGTGAACTTAAGCTGTTTTAACTTGAATTCATAACTAAAAGTGCATTTTAGATGTTCTTGAAAATTTCACAATAAACATTTTTCAGCAATCAGTTATCCAAGGTTATTTTGACTGCAGCTGGACAATTTAATCAATTATCTATGATCATATCGACTAGTGTCATATAAAGTAATCAATTAAACAAAATTATAACAAATTGAATTTGAATAAATTTGTATGCCCAATCTAAATGTTTTGGATATGCAATATTACATATTGTATTGTTCAGCATTCAGGAATATGATTATATATGGGTGTGTGTATGAGTAGACATGACATGCTTTATACGCAACTGCATTATAAATGACCTGGACAAATGTGTTGTGTGCAAGTAATTGCCAATTGGAAAAAGACAGACTTTGTTACTGACATATTTTTTCATAACAAGTCTTTCATATTCTGTTGTACATGGGGTGACCAGAATTAATACATTAAAAACCAGGACAAATGTGTTTTAGTGGGAGGACCCTCTCCCCAGGCAACAAAAAATTTCAAAATATCCATACAGAAGTGGTAAGGTTTTCATAGTACATTTCTGTGATTTTTTGGTGATTTCAAAAAAAAAAAAAACTGCCTGAAAATATTTGAACTCATTCTTTAAACAATTCCTGGCAGTTTTTTGTGTTTGTTTTTGGATTAATATTTTAGAGAAGAATTTCATGTATGACAACATATAATATTTAGGGACAAGAGACCTACTGGTCCATCTAGACTGTCCTATCCACTAAACTAAATTGAAACTACTAAAAATAAACTCTCAAAGCCAGCCCTTATCATTCATATATTTATCAAGTCTTTCCTTAAAACTTCCACCTTTTGTACCCCTTCACAAAATTTTTCTGCAAGTTACTGAGTTACATTCAAAATTTAATTAAACATCTTTAATATCAACATATGTGAGTGAAATTAACATTGTAATGTTTGTTAGGAATTGAACTTTTATGTTATATAAGTTTTAATTCCTTCATTTCCAAAGAAACCTTTAAAAAAATATTTAAAACTTTGGGTTTTGTTGTCACGTGACCCAGGAGCTATGAAAAATCTCAACTTTTGCACTATCAATCTTGTTTTAAGATAACGCCAGTCATCTAGACAATAAGTACGTTAACTTGGCCTATTGACACACAAGTTTCAAAGTTTTCTAAATGCAGTAGAAACAAATAATAAATTTTGTTAATCCCTGACAGGTGCCACACCCAACTCCTGTACTTTGTCTTGAGCTTTATAACACACATGGTGGCTACACATACATGTATATAATGATTATAAAGAGCTCATTTTACACTATAATCAAACAATGATTATTTTGAAATTGGCATACACTTGTTC